ATCTTTAAACACGTTCGAATGTATTTGTATAGAGAGTGTACTTAGAACATAACAGACACACAGGTGTTTGTGTCAATGTTAATCCCCAATAAAAAAGACCATTATTGCTTTTTACAATCTATTCAGATGAACGACAGCTTGCGCTAGAACAAATAACTAATCAATTGCGACTGCTTTGTTAAAGTAAAATACGACGGAGATATTAAAAAATTTCGAAAGGTATTAAAACAAACCTTTTGACAGAAAGCGATATATTCATTTTATTTTATATTTTATTTTAAACAATATTTATTCAGGGGTGCCCAGTCCAGAGAGGCTGGTTTGAATGGGGCCCTGATGAAAAGAAAGCTAATTTGTCAAAGAAGACCAACGTGTTTACAAAACCACTATTAAAAGCGCTTCGATAAATACTAATGAAACCCTTCTTTCTAGCAATCGGCTGGAGCTTTCTCCATGATCTCTCACACACGTTTTTAAAAAGATTGAAACTTCCATGAGGTGAAATTGCATGCCAAAAGCGCTTCGTTTTCTACAGTTAACGGTCAAACATCAAGACTGTCCATTTTTTACTGTGTTTCTAACCATAAAAATATCATTCCAAAATATCTAAGTAACGCTCTTACAGATTTCGCTTAAACTTCACTAACATCGAGGCCACTATTGAAGGAAAAAGCTACCGTGAACGATTTTGGAAGAACAGTTCCCAGTGCCGAGATGTACTGCTGCAAGTAAAATAGGTAATAGCGTCATCTCGTTGCTATGACAACTCCGATGTCGTTGCAACCCTAATCATAACAACTTTTCATCTTTATCTAATACAACTGTGGTGGCAATTTTTCTAAATCTGTGTTTATGGCGACATAATTAATGCTTAAACTTGGGAGGTATTGACCCTGAAAAACCTATATCGAGCCACCTTAAAAAATTAAAAGAAATGTACCATAATTTATCATACATTATCATACAGTCCAAGTTAAGAGACATGGCACAATATATGGAAAACTATACCCAACGATATATAAGCAATATATCAAAGTCAGTGACTGTGCTCACGTTGTGGGTGGCTCCTCCTAAAATGTTCTACATGTTTCTTGGTATAGGATTAAATGGATCCGAAACGAATTGTGCAATTGCACACATTTTAGGCATCCTACTGATGAACAGTTACGACTTTAGATATTTCGAGCAACAACAATTTGCCGTCTGTCCTTTTTGAATTGGAATGAATACATTTTTCAAAGGGAAAGGTTAACGATAATATACTCAGAGCTCAATATTTCATGATGATCCTATTTGCACTGCCCCATTGTCCAATTTTCTTGTGGCGCACTCTAACGTTTGCAGCCAATCTAGTTTTCGAGCTTAAACCAAAATTAATATCACATCATCCTTTCCTATTTGCTTTTATTTTACGGTCCATAGTACACATAACTCGTGAAGTAATCAGTAACCAGTATGATAAATCAACGACCGTCGTTACCTTAACTAATACTTAGCATATTTTGAATAACATAAAACGGTTGTTCATCTATTTACTCGGAATAACCTCTATCATACGTTTATCTGAAACTCGTTTGAAAATAGTCCTGCATTTTCTGTGACACGCAATCTAAAATCAGTTCTACCCCCCCCCCCCCTCCCAGGCGATAAATAATAACCGGTCCCTAACCGAGGTTAGATTACGTCGGCGACCCACGCTAACGACTCTGTAATGCAGACACAAGGCTATGACCCTCTCAGGTTTCCGGCATGCACTGCAAGATAACAGTAGCCCAGCAACTGCGGTTTTCAAAACAATTTATTTTCACATCTTATTTATGTCTCAAAATCTATGCTTTTCTCTTTCACTAATTCCGTTAGTTATTCTGTTGTTTCTAACGTTTGCCTTACAGATTGCCCTGTAAAATTCGCAAACGCGGGCTAGAGAAAAAGAGTGACTGGTTACGTCAAGAGAAACTACGCGAAGGAGCAGCTCAAAAGAAACCATGGAAACCGAAACCGCCACCTAAAAAGAAACAAACTAACTATTGTGGCAAATAACAAAAATAGTAGCTTTGATCGCAATTATGAAGGACAAACGCTTTCTTGTTATATTATTTCGTATTTGATTCATGGTATTTTCCAAGATATCCTTTGTATACTACGTAAATAAATGTATGACTTGTTTTCATACATCACTCAAGTGAGTGAGTTTGGACTTGCCGCCAGGAATATGAAATTAAAGCTTCTTACCACAACAAATTAACTTTAGTGGGTTTCGCTGAGAACAAAATACTTCCTTTCATTACTGGATTATGTATCTGACATTCCTTTCTAGATCTCTTCACTACAACATCTCAACAACAATAACATTACTTTAATATTGCCTTATTTGCATATAGATCCCCAAAGTCGACCAATTTTTCCAAACGTTTGGTGCTTCCCACAATACAAACGTCTGTAAAAGTTTGCGACTTTAGAGGCTAATATGTTTGTTCTTTTTCAATAAATCATTCAGGAACCTTGGGCAATGTTTTTCTTCCCAAGCCCATTTTTCACCGATGTCGATGGATTTTCACCAACTGTTCCAAGTCAAAACTTGAAAAAATCGTTGAAGAGTCTATTGTGGAATGAAGTTCCATTCACAGAGCTAGTCGTGGATCAACTTCCACTGATATTTTTTTAGTCAAGGCTGAAAATATTTTCAGCTAAAGAAGTGATATTTTTCATCTTTAAACACGTTCGAATGTATTTGTATAGAGAGTGTACTTAGAACATAACAGACACACAGGTGTTTGTGTCAATGTTAATCCCCAATAAAAAAGACCATTATTGCTTTTTACAATCTATTCAGATGAACGACAGCTTGCGCTAGAACAAATAACTAATCAATTGCGACTGCTTTGTTAAAGTAAAATACGACGGAGATATTAAAAAATTTCGAAAGGTATTAAAACAAACCTTTTGACAGAAAGCGATATATTCATTTTATTTTATATTTTATTTTAAACAATATTTATTCAGGGGTGCCCAGTCCAGAGAGGCTGGTTTGAATGGGGCCCTGATGAAAAGAAAGCTAATTTGTCAAAGAAGACCAACGTGTTTACAAAACCACTATTAAAAGCGCTTCGATAAATACTAATGAAACCCTTCTTTCTAGCAATCGGCTGGAGCTTTCTCCATGATCTCTCACACACGTTTTTAAAAAGATTGAAACTTCCATGAGGTGAAATTGCATGCCAAAAGCGCTTCGTTTTCTACAGTTAACGGTCAAACATCAAGACTGTCCATTTTTTACTGTGTTTCTAACCATAAAAATATCATTCCAAAATATCTAAGTAACGCTCTTACAGATTTCGCTTAAACTTCACTAACATCGAGGCCACTATTGAAGGAAAAAGCTACCGTGAACGATTTTGGAAGAACAGTTCCCAGTGCCGAGATGTACTGCTGCAAGTAAAATAGGTAATAGCGTCATCTCGTTGCTATGACAACTCCGATGTCGTTGCAACCCTAATCATAACAACTTTTCATCTTTATCTAATACAACTGTGGTGGCAATTTTTCTAAATCTGTGTTTATGGCGACATAATTAATGCTTAAACTTGGGAGGTATTGACCCTGAAAAACCTATATCGAGCCACCTTAAAAAATTAAAAGAAATGTACCATAATTTATCATACATTATCATACAGTCCAAGTTAAGAGACATGGCACAATATATGGAAAACTATACCCAACGATATATAAGCAATATATCAAAGTCAGTGACTGTGCTCACGTTGTGGGTGGCTCCTCCTAAAATGTTCTACATGTTTCTTGGTATAGGATTAAATGGATCCGAAACGAATTGTGCAATTGCACACATTTTAGGCATCCTACTGATGAACAGTTACGACTTTAGATATTTCGAGCAACAACAATTTGCCGTCTGTCCTTTTTGAATTGGAATGAATACATTTTTCAAAGGGAAAGGTTAACGATAATATACTCAGAGCTCAATATTTCATGATGATCCTATTTGCACTGCCCCATTGTCCAATTTTCTTGTGGCGCACTCTAACGTTTGCAGCCAATCTAGTTTTCGAGCTTAAACCAAAATTAATATCACATCATCCTTTCCTATTTGCTTTTATTTTACGGTCCATAGTACACATAACTCGTGAAGTAATCAGTAACCAGTATGATAAATCAACGACCGTCGTTACCTTAACTAATACTTAGCATATTTTGAATAACATAAAACGGTTGTTCATCTATTTACTCGGAATAACCTCTATCATACGTTTATCTGAAACTCGTTTGAAAATAGTCCTGCATTTTCTGTGACACGCAATCTAAAATCAGTTCTTCGTCGACAAAAATCATCTACTAGTTGTTGTTGTTGTTGCTGCTGCTGTGGTTGTTGTGTTTCTCCTTCTCCTCCTCCTCCTTCTCCTCTTCCTTCATCTTCTTCTTATTATTATTATTATTATTATTATTATTATTATTGTTTCTATTATCACAGTCTTTGCTAGTGTTCTTTTTGCGCATCAGCCGGGCGCAAACCATGCACCTAGAGCGTCAGTCACTCAAGTCAATCATTCTGTTCATACACTGAGCACCTTTCTAAGGATTCGTGCAGATCCCAGCATGCAGATCTTTTGAATCTCTGTCATAGTAGCTCTCTCTGATACTTTCTTGATGTTTTCTACCATACCCTTCTTCACTGTACCAAGCGCTTATTATTATTATTATCATTATTATTATTATTATTATTATTATTATTATTATTATTATTATTATTACTATTATTATCTATTTCTTCCAATCGTTCTACTCCTATAAACAGCCAACAAGAAACATTTTTCTTTAGAAGTTTTTAGTGTTTGGCTGACTCTTAATCGGCAGTTCTCTTAGTTTTGAAAGGGTTGACGCAGTATGTTAATCATGGCAAGCCGAATGCGTCTCATCTTCCAGCAGTAAATCAGCGGATTCAGAGAGGAATTGAGTGCAAGCAAAATAGTAAGGTAGAGGTTTACTTTATACATCAATGAGGTTCGCACAGGACCAATTACATTTTCGGCAATATTAAAACAAATTATTGGTAGGTAACAAGCCATGAGCGCTAGATACACATAAAATACGCCGAATGCAGCTTTTCTCTCTCTTGTTGCATTTACCGCTTCATTCCGCTCTCCGCTTTCAACTGGCACGTCTTGAACTTGAGCTGCGTGTTGTCGTAAGGCTAAGAAAATCTTGAAATAAAACAGGCCTGCGGTGATAAGACTGATGAACTGAATAGTAACAGTCAAAATGAAAAATATGTCCTCTGGGAGCCACTCACGAAGTCGAATCAACGGAAGGACGGCGCTCAACAGCCAAAATGAAATGACCCCAGCAATGGCGCGTTTATGAGTTACCGCATCCTGGTACCGGAGCTGAAGGCGTATCACCAAAAATCTGTCAGCACTCAAAGCCACGATGCTAAAAAACGAAGCATACGTTACGACGTTGGCCACGACTCTGTACGCTTTTAATACAGCTTCATAGTGATCAGGCCAAATATACGGCGGAGATCTTGCAAGAATGTTTATGTTGCTAACCAGGAGACAAATTTGCAGTGGCTGCGCTACTAAACCAACACCAAGGTCAGAGACAGACATACTGAGGAGCAATGTTTTCAGAGTTTTTCTTGGTAACGAAGGAATCTTTCTTAGCGCGAGTATTACTAAAACGTTTAGCAGTACGGCGGTAAAAGCTAAGATGGAATTNAATTTGCAGTGGCTGCGCTACTAAACCAACACCAAGGTCAGAGACAGACATACTGAGGAGCAATGTTTTCAGAGTTTTTCTTGGTAACGAAGGAATCTTTCTTAGCGCGAGTATTACTAAAACGTTTAGCAGTACGGCGGTAAAAGCTAAGATGGAATTCAGGATGCAAGCGACGAGTGTATTGTTGTAGAGGTCCGAGTGGGGCATTCTTTTCCTTGGAACCAGACGCTCTTTTGAGTCTCCTCTGCCAGTAAAAGTTCAGCCGGTTTACTTTCAAAGCGATGAATACTTTTAAAATATATGATTTGTTTGTGCCTATACAGTTACCCCAAACCACGTAATAGCACTGAAAAAAAAATGACTGAAATGATTTTAATGATTGTTTGATCTGTAATGGTCCACTAATGACAGGCGAGAAAAATAAGAACCGTCAATTTTCGGAGTGAGTTTTGCCTGTATTTGCGTTGTTCATTTCGTTTTTCTCTGCATTTATAAGAGACCGAGAAAATTTATTCGATGATAGACGGGTAATTGAGAGTACAATTATCAAAAATGCCACACAAATTGATGATAAAGGATTAAATTATGACTACGCCAATATTATCAATTCAGGTGTAAATGCAAATTTCGCTCCTCCTTGCTTAGATGGTCGCAGGTGTCTTTTCACCCGTTTGATGTAAAGAAAGAAGAAGAAAGAAACGACAGTCTACTTTATCGCGAAAAGAAGAAAAACCTGTTAATATTTTGGGCGTCAATTTTCCTCTCAGATATCCAGGTGCTATTCAAGACAGCTTTTTTGTTGATATTCTACTGATAGACATCGGAAGAAGTTAACCTATATAAATGTAACAACTATTGAACTGATTAAATATGCCGAGACTTTCATTTATGTGTGCTACGCAATAAACAGGGCACAAAAAAAAATTGGAAACCGTCCAGTGGAAGAAGCCAAGAAAACGAAATTTTATAAAAGACTAACATATAAATAATTTGTCTAAATCTCAGGTCTTTGTGGTCAACAGTTTCTGAGTTATTTGCTGAAACATTTCGCGCACCTTTGTAGAGCTTTGTATGGAGACGCCATATTCTGTCCACCATTATGGCCGCCGGAAATCAACAAAAACATCTGGAGTTCACTTTTTCTATAAAGGCTCTTCCTTTTCACTCGAGAGCTAGCATACGTGCGCAAAAACACATCTTTTAATACTTGAAATGGTTAAACTGCTGACTATCAAGAGGAATGACTTTTTTCAATGAGACACTCATTCCTATTTTTGTGTCACGTACTATGAAAACTCGGGAGTTGAAATTGCTGTATTTTCGAAATGAAACGTGCTTCGGGGCTGGAAACTTTCACAAAGATTTATTTTCTACTTATCTTCAACCTAATGTAAATAAGAATTCGTAAAACCTCGCTTTTTTGACTTTGCAATCTGATGACGGTACTGTGAAAACCATCAAGTATACCAATTCAAGTCAGATTACCTCTGAAAAGTGGAAAGGCTCAGTATAATAGTTAGCCTCCCACGCAGGCGTTTTTAGGGGAGCTCGTTTTTTGTGGGGAGGGATGAAAAACGAGCTCCCCTAAAAACGCCTGCGTGGGAGGCTATATAATAGTTGAACATGAATTTTTTCTTCCATTTTCCAGCGACGTATTTCTCTCTGACATTTTCTGCTTAAGATTCAAAAAACGAATTTAACGAATCAGAATATAACTACAGTCAAACCTTTATTAAGCGGACACCCAATTAAGTGGACACCCTCTACTAAGCGGACTCTAAGCCGGGTCCCGAAACGAAAGTCTGATATTTCCCTTTATAACGAACCACTATTCAGCCGACACTTCTATTAAGCGGACGCGGACGCTAACATAAGTTGTATTTGGCTAATTTCTATTATTCAAAACCTCTATTAAGGGGACACCGGACTGAATTGATAATAGTAGTATTGGATTACGTCCTTGAAATACGTACTGAAGTCAGTTAGTGTTTTTGCATTTACAAACAACGTAAAGTTGGTAATGAAACGTAATGAAATTGAACTCTGGATAGCTTCTTAAACAACATGCAACTTTATCACGGTACAGAGTAACCGCTGAATGTTGATCGTTAACAAAGATTGCGCACTTTTTACAACCTCTAAGCGGACTCCCTCTTTTAGCTCCCTTTTATTAATTTTCCTCATGAAACCTCTTTAGCAGAGTTTAATGTGCATAGCAATACATGTATTTGGGTTTTTCAGGGTTTTACCGAAAAACTGAATTTCTTTGTGATTTTTTCCCTGGACTTTATTAGGATTGGTTTACTCGTTATAAGGACAAGCCAGGTTTTGAAACCATAAATGTAAGTCTTAGATGAATTTTGTCAAATTTGGCAGTACAGGCGTGTTGGGAAGTTTTCAGCTGAATCGTGCTGTTTTTAAATTAAACGCCCACTAAAAATATGTTACCGACCAGTATTAAGTTAAATGACGTTCCTCAATATACTAAACACACGACCAGTCATTTAATATGTTAGTGATATATTCCTTGATAATAGTCCTGATCATGAATTGGCTGAATAATCGTGGCGAAACGGACTTAAATACTACGGAAGTCAACTATTAAAAAATAAATAACGACGTTATCTTTTGTTGTAATAATCGTATTCCCCTGTTCCTTTTTGAGCTTGTTTCTTTAACGATTAACAAAACTTTATCCACCTTGCTCGTTAGTGGTCTTGGATGTTGCCAAGCTTTTTTATATTGTGCTATAAAATGCTCGGTTCCATTTTTTTCTTCTTAAAAGGTCACCACTGAAAATGCTCAGATGACGCTTATCATACAGAGCCCTTTAATTTATTCTAAACGTTTTAACAGAGCGTTAACGTAACAAAAATAAGTGAGTGTTAAGCAACGTTAAAGACGTTTATTGGATGGTTTCAGCAGAACTTTGCTATTTTTAAATTAAATGACAAACAAAAACGTTATACATATCACGAATTGAAAAGTAAATGACGCCACTCGCTAGAAGCAATATACTAAACGCATCATTAATCACACAATATCTTAGTTACTAATATATATCCCCTGTCAATTAAAGTTCATGAACAAATTAGATGACCATTTACAGCTATTTCGAGAAAGGTTGTCGGGAAAAGTACACGCGACAATCCTAAAAGGCATTGTGGGTGGTTTTGAGTTCTCTTTTTTTCAAAGAAATTTGAAAGAATTGGCACGAAAGGCCATGAAAATGTGTTTGCGAGTGCTAATGGAAAGCTACAAAAGTAGATTCGACAGCTACAGTCGTCAGGAACAGTGTATTGATCATATCCCATATTACCTTTCGGGATTGTCGCGTGCACATTTTTTCCGACAACCTTTCTCGAAATAGCTGTATATGGCAATACGGATTCACCTGTTGTAAGTTAATAAAGGCAGACCTTTTTGCTCTAAATATCTGTTTTTTCAACAATTATCAGAACCTTACACTTTGCATGTTAAAGGTCCTGGAAGTTGTTGACTAGACTTGTTTACATTATGCTTTTGTTTACGCTCTAAAATGCCTCAACTTATTGTTCTATTTTTCTACTAACATGCTTGATCTTCCCCAAAATGGGCACTAAATGTTCAGATAATTGTCATCACATAGGTAATTTTGCAAATACAAAACGTATGAGTGGTGTAGCAGCGTATTGCGTTGTGGCTCAACTAAACCTTTCCATGGTTTTTTAACTTTTGACATGGACAAGTTAGGGATAACTTGTCGACACCACTGAAAAAAAGCGTCTTAAAATTAGTAAAACTGCCAATTTAAAAGTGATTTGTTGAAAACTTTTGACATGGACCAGTTTGGGAAAATCAGCCTTCACCGTTGAAAAGAGCGCCTTAAATTAGCAAAACTGCCAAATCTGGAAGTGATATACGCCTTAAGCGAGCGAAGATATTAAATAGCTCCGCAAACTTGCGAGTAAACGTAAATCTTGTGGTTAAAATCATGCAAAGTGCTTATTTATGGGTTATTTTCATGTAAAGCACAAAAAATTGCCATTTCTCGCGGTTTTAACCTGTTTCTAATTCTTGGTAAAATCCAAGATGGCGGCCAAGATGGCGACCATTGTTGGTGACGTCACGGGCCTTCAGCAGCGCCACAACCCATAAAATATACCTAATTTTGTTAAGAAGATCAAAGGCTTTCCACTTAAGGTAAAATCGTTTCGAAATACTGCAACATATCAAAAACTCCGGGGAGGGGTTCCATCCTCCCCCCTTGGAACCACGGTGCGGGGGCATGACTTTGCGTGTACGTCCGAGGGTTAAAGCTTCCTTGATCAAGAAATACCTTGATCCGACAAATAATGGAAAATGGAAGTATTTATTTGACGACAGTTTAAAAACGCATGGTGGGAAATTAATTTTCTCTTGCAATCTACACAAAGACGACATTCCATTGTTAAGAATAAGTAATCCCTCTGTCTGCGAGGTCCTATCAACCTGGGCGGAGTTGCATTTCTCTGATGTTGCAGCCATCTCCGATGCAAATTTTGGCGACCAGACTATCTGGCTTAACTCTCCGATAAGAATAGACAATCGGCTTGTATTCCACAAACACTGGTTGGGTCATGGTGTCTGCAAAATTTCTCATTTATTAGATGACGGTGGGAACCTCCTCGGATATGATGTGATGAAATCTAATTTTCAGAATTTAAATTGTTAGAATTTTGAAGTATCGTTTCACCTGTAAAATAGCTTATGAAAAGGCTGCAAAATGAACCGATGTATAAAGTGGATTCTACTGAAGGAATGACCATAACTGCTCCAACATCTGTAAGTAAAGTTAATAATTTTATTTATAAGTCGCAACTAAAAATAGAAACTTTTACACCCATCAAAAGCCAAGAGAAGTGGCTTAGAGACTTCCAAGTTGAAAATGTAAGTGATATATATTGGAACGAAGTATACACAATCGCCTTCAACTGTACGGCATCAACCAAATTAAGAACCTTTCATTTTACTGAGTTCTTATTACATCGGAGCCATGATTTCCACTAGCGATTTTTTAAAGAAATTAGCTTTACGCAATCTGATAAATGTTGTTTTTGCCAAAGAGAAATAAAAACTGTTTCTCATCTATTTCTGATATGTTCTGCAACAAATGTTTTTGGAACGATGTTAAACAATTTTTAATTCAAAAGCGCCTCAAGAGTAATGTTGTATTAACCGATCTGCAT